AAAGTGGACAACTAAATAGGGACGGAGGGAGTATGATTTAAGTGAATGCATCAGTCCACCTTTCTTCTTGATAACCTTATCCATTTAGATGCCATAATAACTGGAAAAAAATTATTTATTTAAACAACCAAGTTATCTTCCCGAGGTCGGTGGCCTTTCTTTTTTTTTATTTCATTATTTTATTATAATTAATATTCAAATTTTATTGTCTCAATTACTATATTATTTGCTATCGTTACTGTTCTCTTCTCCTTTTGTTTTTAGCATGTCTTTTTTACTATTGTACTTTTTTTCAATACTTGATTTCGATAATAAACTCTCTACTATCATAACATAGGAATAGAATTGTGTATCTAACCCTCAGACCTCACTGATAAGACTACACTGCATAGTCGAATGATGTTGGTTGGGACTTGGTGCAATGGTTCTATAGTCTATGGTCTATTTAGGTATATAATTATGGATTTGAGCTGTTTGACATATAGTTGAGTGTCATTGTTCATAATGAGCAGAAAAAAGAGAAGGGTATTGTCAACATTCTTTTGTCACCAATTAATCTATATATTTAGTTTTTAGTTTGAATTCAAACAAGTGGCCATATAGTTAAATGCTTGTTTTTGCTAGCCATCTGTCTACCCTTTATATATTTTCAATATCTGAACTAAAATATCAAATTGGCTACCAATTGTATGCTTTTGTTACCACTTACAAATCTTTAATAAATTAGTATTATCAATTATGTATAATGGGAATAAAAGAATGCGTTACGTCTCTCTTATCTTTTTTCTCCCAACTAACCCAACTACTCTGCTATCAGATGCGCACTTGCCCCAACAATCTCACCTTTAAAGTGATTTATGACTTTAAAAGAACATAATTACTACTCTACTTTGTAGTGCTTTGAGGTATCCATATACGTGTTGCACCAACTTAGTCATCCTTAAAATAAAAATGAATGAAGGAACGTTAGAGTCAATTGACATCCCTTAGTCAAACCTATCCTTTGTTCAAAAAGAGGCAATTACCACCCCTTTGTTAAAAAATACACAATATAGATCGCAATAGTGCAGTGTTAAGTAACTCTGCACGTGTTACACTAGCTCAATCACCCTTAGGGTAAAAATGGACAGAGGGCATGAAAGTCAATTGACAACCCTTGGTCAAACTTATCCTTTGTTCAAAAAGAGTCTATTTACACCCTTTCGTCAAAAAATGCACAACATAGATCGCAATAGTGCAATGCTAGGTAACATGCCCTGTAATTGTATGATTCCACGAATGAGGATCTAGAAAGGATTAGATGCACCTTCCAATGTAATCCCACAAATTGGATCTGGAAAGGGTACGATATATGCATACAACCTTACGTCTACATTTGTGGGATAAAGAGATTGTTTCCGATGGTAGATACGTACTCTAATGCATGAAATAGGAAGAGAGGATAGGAAAATTAACCAAAAAAATTCAAAGGTATCAATAAATTGGAAAGTTAGATTGTAAATTTCCAAACAACCAAATAATGTAACTCTTGCCTAATGCCCCTAATTGCAGCTAGTGCTTCTTCTATCTCTAAAATAACTCCTCTAAGCAGAGGTCACAATAAAATTAATGAGAAAAATACATAGATCTTTCTCAAAATGAACTCATGGACCAAACGCGTAGACACGCTTTGTGTCAACCTTCCATGGCCCAACCGGAACATCCAACTTCCATGGATCAATGCTTTCCTGAAGTATTGAGTCCTGTTGTTTTGCAAATTGGGCACAAATTCTTCTGCATGAGCCATTGTTTAACGCAGTTGGCATGAAAATCATGGCCACAATCCAGCTTCCCAAGATCCTCACCATCCTTGTATTCTTCCTGCAAATTGTAATAAACAAATTAAGACTCCTCACTCTTAAGGTGAACTAAAATTAGATCTCCAGCATACGGTGATCTGACTCGAAGTAGAATAAGTATTGAGTTTTGTACCTGACAAATACAGCATGGCTCAGCATCCTTGGTTTCTTCTGTTCTAATGCGTACATGCTTCCGTTGCTTCAGACGATTCAAAATGGTTTCTTCAGTCAGCCCAGTGCAGACATTCCCGATGCGCTCCTCAAGCGCAAGTAATTCCTGTAAATACAACACAGGCAGACAATTTAGAATGTCTTTCATAGATGTGAAAATGTAGTTATGTTCCCTGTACTAACCTCATAGGACATGTTATCAACATCAAGACGCATATCGCGATGGCGATCCTGAATATCCACCATCCCAAAGAACCCTGACTGATCAAGGATCATAACGTCCTGGAATACAAGGAAGATTTTAATTTCAAAATACTCGGATCTTATAAGCTAATCAATTTTAGATACTGTAGGTTATCATTCCTATCCTCTTCATGTCCCATCAGGAAAATATATCACGGAAAACCGAAGAAAACTTTTATCAATTTGTAACAATGCTCGTGATTTTGTACCAATACCCACACTAGGTTATTAAGGAAATCTAAAGAAACATATCCACCAGTGCAAAAGCAAATTAGACAAAGGAATCTGGAATACGGAAGCCGATAAAATCAAAATCTATTTCAAATAACTTACGGAACCGTATATAGGAATATAAGGAGGCGTCCTTGATATGATCACAAGGCACAAAGAGGATGGAAGAGGGGTATAGACTTAAATTAAGCACACTACTAATATATTGGAAGTCCACTATAAGAACACAAAGGGTCAGGCCTAATAAATGGTTTCATACAAATACTATGAACTAAACCACAATAGCATAAAGTCATACCTAGATAATACAAAAGATCATGCACCTAGTATAACTTAAAAACACATGAACCTAGACAATTGAACATTTAAGTTGTCTATTTTGTATAGACTAATCAACATATCCAAATGGCTTCAAGAATTCTAACCTCAAATCTTAAGCTCTCTCCCCTGCGCATTAGATCCAATACATTGCGAATCTGCTGAAATGAAAAGAAAACAACTGTAAGTAATTGAGAATGAATGGAAGGCATCACAACATGCAAATTAATTTACATATATAATGCAATATTTTCTCATTCTTGTGCTTTTACAACAAATTTTCAAATCAAGCTGACTCTAACAAAAACATTCCAAAAGGCAAATAGACATTTAGTTGGTCTTTCTCTTTTTGGAGTATTTTGCATGTCCAAAATTTGGTGATATTAAAAAACGGTACTTTGTTCAGGAAATGACCCTTAGCTTTACAAGTACGTTTACCACAATAGAATCCTTCAGCTCTTTATGTGCGAGATAATAAAGACAGGCCACAAAAGGTTTTATGCTGACAAATGCCAAGCATGCAGTAACTTATTTTTGGCAGGAGCAATAGAACTAGGGTATATTATTCAATATCAAGAAGGCTAGAAGAGCATCTTACAGTGGATACCAAAAATCTAAACTTCAAGGTTCAGAGATAAGCTGGGAGCAAAAGATTTGGCATAGGACTACCGTAAATCAATGGGGAAGAGTAACTTGAGGAGGAACATGCGTTTACAATTGAGCAAGTTTGTAGTTGCTCCACAATTCTTAAATTCAGATGCATTATAAAGTTTTTTTCCTATAGGTAAGCAAGCTTCTAAATAATGAGTGCTGCAACAGCCTCCCACCCCCCAAAAAAAGGAATTTTATGGAACCTGCAAAAAGCCTTGAAGGAACAACATGATCTTATATTGCCAAAATGAGAAATTACAGAATATTGGACCAATAATGAACCCAGTATCATACCTCGGAAACTAGCCTGCCTCTTCCTTCACCGGCAGCAGCCAAAGTCCTCCAGGAATATGGAACTCCCATTGCACCATCGAGTTGTCTCTCCAACAACAATGCTGACCTCGAACTTGATGGACGATGCCCGGGATGGCCAGAAAGCCCCATCTCCTGTGAGGCAGCAGAACTCAAATGTGGCGGAGTGTTACCATTGTGACTTCCAGGTTCACTGACAGCTGCAGACAACATAGATCTACGAACATATTCTGAGAGTCGTCGAGGATATTGCTGAGGATTTCTGTGTTCCACCCAACCAGGAGAAGAGGAAGGGGCTACTGAGTTAGGACCACTCCGAGAAGCAGATGCAACATTTCCAGCAATGGAAATATTTCCACCAGCTAAACCCCAGTTGACAGGATTTTGGTTCAAATTTCTCAAGTCACTAGCGGGTATGAACATTGGATGCTGCGAAATGTTTCTGGGCACAGTTCTTGAGCTTGGTTGTTCATATGCTGCAGAATTCCTCTCACCAAAAACAGAATAACTTGATGAACTGCCAGCTCTTGAACTTGATGAATCCCACCTCTGTGCACTTCGTCGCAGAGAAGGAACCGGCCCCACAACTGGTTGGCTTCGGGGATTTACATTATCTGCAGCAGACACGGACCTCGAATCCAAAGACTCATTAGGAAGCAGCCTCAATGCGTCCCAGTCAGACATGGTAACATTTCTATCATTACCCACAGTAGGAAACGTATTACCAGGAATAGGAACTTGCTGATGAGAGCCATTGATCCTCAGCCTGAAATTTCTACGGTAACTTTCTGCTCTTCTTGAAGCAGGCACTGCAACAGGACCTTCCATAGTGGTGCCACCCATGGCGAGCCCAAGTCTTGGATTTCCCGGCACTGGCAAACTGATGTTTCTTCTACTTTCTGTTGGTGCAGGGCTATTAGCACCTGCAGTCACATTATTTGGAGCAGGTATAGAACGCCATAAGCTGTTTAGAAGATAATCTGGACTTCCACTTCCCGAAGATTGCCCCAGATGTCCTTCAACTGCTTTTCTCTTACAAGCCATGCGTCGACCATCCAGTGTACAGCCTGGTCTGCCATCACTTTCATCCCTCAGAAACCCATTAGTTGCAGAAGTCCCAGCAAGGGGATCAGAAGAAGTACTGGCGGTTGACATCCGTTCTTTTCCTGGTCCATTAGACTTGAATGTTGGGGTGCACTCCATCACTTGGCAGTCATCGTCGTCATCTTCATCGCCATCATGCCCCTCATGTCCAGCACTCCTATTTAGTTCATTTGGAACAGTGCTAGAAGTAGAAGCTTGAGAAAATAAAGTGTTGTCAGCTAACTGGTTATTCAAATTTATTTCAACATCACCCAATGAAAGAATATTGGAAGACCCATAATGCTGTTCAGCAGAGAAGTGAGAAGTCCCAGGACAGGCACTCATTGTAGTATTTTCACTACGACTAACACTATTTTGTGTATTGGAGGAGCTGGATTCTCCTAAATTCCATCCAATTACATTCTGTCTTTCTTGGTTTGCATGACTAAGAAATTGTATGGTTGTCTCATTAGAAGGTACCATATAATCTGGTAGCCGACTTTGTGCAGGATTCCGCAAATTATTCCAACATATCTGCTGATCTATACCCCCATCAGTCGATGTTGAACCATGAGTAAAACCCAAAGTTTCTGGCAGGGATCCGATGGCACTCCGTTGCCCTTGCATTAGGCCTATACTCTATATTCACAATCTCCAAAAGACAAAGATAGTATTGTAGTGACAGCGGGGTCTCAAACTTCACCACTAAGCAGACCTGCAAGCAAAGTAGAAACCACATTATTGTAAGGCAGTTCATCAATAGAACGTGAGAACAGAAATTCTTGTCTCAATGTTCAGAAATATTAGATAAGGAAAAAGAGTGAAAAGAAAACACTATTTGATTTGGCAAAAAGATCATTCCTTTTCTTCTGGTTGCACAAGACCACAGAGGCTTTAGAGTCCATGCCATTAATTGGCAGATGAGCTCAGTACCAAGCTTTCACCACTGCATTCATATATGGCCAAATCTCATAGATGTCACAAGTTAGAACATATCACCCCCCAGAGATATCTTTCTAAACTTGTTGCTATCAGCGAGATTTTTCAAGCCAGATATGAGTACCTCCATGTCAACCAAAATAAGGAACTCCATGTGCAATTGACATTATCACCATAAACATCACAAACAGTAGAAAACAAGAAATAGATAATCGCCTTGAACACAAACGGTGGGTGTATTTGATAAACTTTGCCAGTACAATGAATGTAGCTAATTTCAGTTACACTGAGGCAATAAGAATAGTTCCACCAACAAGAATTGTAGAGACATTTTGATATCACAACCACTTCATATACAAAATACCATTACAGAAACATGTGTAAAAAAGCTGCCTTTAAATTTAAGCAAGGAGAAAACAGAGCATCACCAACCTGAAACCACCATTACACTAAAAAAATTGAAGCTTCCCCTTACCCACCAGCTTAAAATTAAACATATATACTTACCAATAATCAGAGACTCAAACTGTATATACTTGTAAACTTCAGAAAAACCATTTTTCTTGACCAGATACTAAGCATATCTCTCTAAAACCATTAAAAATCAGATCTTTAATAAATATCAAACATCAGAAAAAGTTGTAATCTTTGACAGAGGAAGCTGGTTTAATAATAATCAAAACATCCCCCTCTAAATCAGCTCAATGTAGAACAATAAAAAGCCCAAAAACAAAAACTAACAGGAGTAATAACTTTGTTTTTCTCCTTAATTTCCTGGGAAAAAAACAACTTTTTGAACTGAAACATAAGGGACTCTTTGAATCATCCATCCAATGCATATAGTCAAACAAACAAACAAAAAACATACTTTTCTAGACATATCTCAAGAAAGAATTTGCAGATAAACCCAGAATCAAGATGAGGTAAAACAAATCAAAAGCAACCAAAAATAAAAAAAACTGAAAAACACATGAAAAAAAAGTAAGAATTTACCTGCAAAACATCAGCAGATGAAGCAACAGATCTAAAGTCACCACCTGAAATCCAAAAAACAAAATTGAGTTACAAACAAAATCCTTTTTTTTTCTTCTTTCTACACAAAATCCCAGATAAAAAAGAATCAATCAAACATAAAAAAATCACCTCTTTAACAAAAGATGAATGAAGAAAACAAGATGAGATGAGAAAGAAATGGTGGGTTTGTAAAGAAAAAATAGAGGAAAATGAGAAAACAAGAATGAGAAAGAGAGAGGAAAAGAGGTGGCCTGACCTGGTGGACTAAAGAGAGGGGACAATAATCTTTAACACAAAACACCCCCTTTCACACCCTTTTAATAAAAGATTTATAACCCAAAAATCAAATTCCAAACAGAGAATTAAATGATGCAAAAGAAAAAAAAATGATTTTTTTTTCAAATGGGTAAAAAAAAAAAAAAGAGTTATTGTTTTGTCCAAAACTCTAAAATGGCTTAAGTAATTAATTACCATTGAGTGTGAACTGTGATTGATCAAAAGAAGTCTCTTGTTTCGAGGCGCGCCGATGGGAAAAGAAAAAGGGAAATAGTATTCCTTTCCTCCCTCACAGGACAATTTACTTGGTAGATTGTATTAGAAAAAAATAATGTATATATTTTTAATATATATAAAAAATTATTATTATTAATATTATTCTTATACATTGTATCAAATAATTTTTTTAAAAGTTTATTTTGTGAGAGTGTCTCTCTCGTTTTCATCTTCACGCCAAAGCACCTGTCCCTCTTTCTAATCACATGTCTGTTTTTGTACTCTTCTTCTTTTTTATTTAACGTCTCCCCCGGATTTTATGTGTATTTTCAGTTACAATTTCTTTTCCTTTTCTTTACAATGGATTTTCAATTTGTTTGGTTACTTGTGGAATTTGAACCCATTACTAATTTTATTTTCTATTATGTCTTTTATTTTATTATAATAATAATATATTTAATGTAATTTTAGGAGTGAGGTTTGAATTGTTTTTATTTTATGTAGGATATAATAGCTAAAGAGATATATAAATTAGGAATATATATTATTATTTGAATCAAACATTATTTTTAGAAAATTTATGAATAATTCTATCATCCGAATTTGCTTTCTAAAATGTGATTATTATTATTTTCAAAATTTTGAATTTTTGTTATTATTAATGTTGCAAGGAAGATGTTGAAATGATATTTATATGTAAATATAAGTTAGGAAAATTAATTAATTTTTAATATTATTTTTAGCAAATTATTAAAAATTATATCATCGGAATTTGATTTCTAAATATGACTTTTTAAAAAAGGAATTTTAATTTTATTAAGTGCTGACAAGGAAGGCGTTGAAATGATATCTACATGTAAACATAAGTTAGGAAGACTAATTAAATAATATTTTTAGAAAATTATTTAAATTCTATCATCCAAAATTTATTTTTAAAATACGATTATTTTCAAATTTTGATTTTCATTGTAGCTAAATGCTGACAAGGAAGGCGTTGGAATGATACTATTATACATATACATACATATGAGTTAGGAAGACTAATTATATATTATTTTTAGAAAATTATTAAAAATTCTATCTTCCAAGTTTAATTTCTAAAATAAAGTTATTTCAAATTATATAGATATATGTATACCTTATTCTTTTTATAGGTAGTTAGTTGTAAAGCTTTTAACTCTGTATATTATTATTATTAAAGTTAATCTAAACTAATAAAATATTAATTATGTGTTTGTAAAACGTTATTCTGGATCTTGTTATAAAAATTATACTGTATTTATTAATATAAACATTTGAGTGATTTAATTTCAAAATGCTAAAATATTTTTATGATTAAAGACTAGGTTTTTTCAATTTATTTTTTGATAAGATTTTGTGTTCTTTTTATTTTCCTACAAATTTTAATATTATTCAAATAAAACAGTAAAATTCACTATACAAACCTTACATTGGTAAACGCAATTACAAGTATTATATGTATTAGTTGGCAAATGTGAGTGATGCTAATTATCCACTTTAAAGACTTGGTAATTTCCGTCAAATATAAAATTAGGTTCCTTCGTTTCAAATGTTGTTTACTTACTTGGGTGGTTTGCTTTGACCATTAAAAAAAAAGTATACATCAAACAAATTAATTTAATGCATATAGCTACATAATAAAAAAAATAAAAATCTCAACTATAGTTATGTAATACTACTATGTATGTTGAATTCAATGGTAAATTCCGCATTTTATCCAGATATTTAACAATTTTATACTTTTTAATATTAAAATCGACGTAAAATAATTATAACTTTCAATATTTATAGGCTATATTAGAGCATCAAAAATGACAAAACGCTTTTCATATTGTTACTCACTCTGTCTCAAATTATCCAATTGAAAAATCAAAGATATATTTAAAATTATACTCATATGTTCATATTTTAATACAATGAACTGAATTTCTGATCATTATTATAATTTATAAACAAGAATAATGTAATGATCATACATTATTCTCAATAATCGTAATTAGTGAAGGGGCAGGAAAAGAGTAAAAAGTAGTGTGAATAAAAGAAAAAAAGAGATGTTTTTATAAAGCCACAATATTGCAAGTGTTAAATGATCCAAACTACTTTTAATTGCTTAGACATGGGATCTAGTCCTAAGTGGCCCTGTAATAATAATAATTATTATTTTCAAATGTTTGTTTGGCCTTTGAGATGTTGTTATTATATATAACAATAAAAGAGTCGAGTAGGATTTGAGGAGGATGGTGTATATAGTTTTATTAGTGTCTTGTGACAGTAGATATGTTCGTTTTTGATAGGTCATAAACATAAGTAAGATATATCAAAAATAAGTACGAATAGAAACATGTTATACTGAAAAAAATGTAGAAAAGAGAGATAACACTAATATACAATCATTGAAATAAAATAAATTAATAGAATAGAAGAATAATGCTTTTGACATTGTTATTGATGGGGAAAAAATCAATAAGGGTTGTAGTGGAGTGGTAGATACTCTTTTAACCTAAACTAAAATTTTATCTCCAATATGAAACTTTTCGATGCAAATTTATATTTAATCAAATTTCAATATAAATATTGGACATCGGATTTTTTTTTTTTAAAAAAAGGATTTGGGATTTGATGGTTTAGGTCAAGCATCCAATCTTTTCTCCATATACTTAAACAAAAATTACGTAATGGCTGATTGAAAAAATATATACTAAACTCAATTAACAAAATAAAATAAAATAGTGATTCCAATAAGCTACAAATCAGTCATTATTATTATTATTAATTATTATTGAATTTTTCCATGCTAAGTGAGGTCAGATATGGTTGGCAGAAGAAAAACAAACCGAGTGATTATTTTTTTTCTTCTTAATTGTCTATTTGAAAAAGTTGAAATTAGTTGATGTTGGCATCTTTTAATTTATTTATATTTTCACCTAGTCTCAAACCAACTTAGCTAGCTCCCTATATCTAGCATTAGGTGGCGTTTAAATATGTTTTTGATTTAATTTTTGAAAATTTTATTTTTAGAATAAAGTTGTGTAGTTGAGTTACCTTTTAGAAATACATTTGGAAAGTAGTTGTATTATTATTTGAGGAAAAGAAAATTACTTAAATTGGATGGTGATGATTTTTCATATGCAAAATTCTCTCCTTTGACTAATATTTTAAGAAGGCTATAAGATTGCCTATTTTTAAAAATAAAATAAAATAAAGGATTTTCATTAATCAAACTTAAAGAGTTATTACACAAGAAAATTAGTCTAGGTAATATATAGTTTATTCTGTCCCGGTCAAATATAGAAATAATAAAAACGGGAGATTTAAGTACAATAATAAGCTTCTATAAGTATCAAGCTCACATTTTTTTTTTGCTAATTGATCCGTTAGCTACTCCATTAGCCTCTCTATATCCAAGAAGAAGTATAAAAAGCCTCATCTTGTTAATTATCTTATATATTTTTGCCTCAAAATAAACATTTTGCGAGTCAATTTTATTAATATTATAAGTTATATAAATTGAAGTAAATCAATTCAATATTATATAAATACTATAAATTATATTTTCTTATAGTAATATAAAAAATATATTTTAAAATATTGATCAAAAACTTATATAATCTAAATCTGACATATTTATACTACTTTGACCAACGTAAGGATCTTACTTATCTTGTTTGCCTTTGCATTAATTCTATTATATACCTAGTTAATGCATTTTTCCTTAGTTGGTGAATTTCTGGCTTCCACACTCATTAAGCTATAGCCAGAAGACCAATAAATGAAGAATGCTTGAATATATAGTTGACGTTCTAATACATATATCCATTCAAAAGGTAACAAAAAAACTAATTTTTTTATTTTATTTTACTTGACTTTTATATTAAAGATAGATTATATATATATATTTTAATTGTTTATTCTAGTAAATAGGGGTGTATAAAAATTGAATCCACCAATAAATCAAACCCAAAGAAATATTATTCGTTAGTTGTTATTGAATTAACGAGTTTTAAAAGGTTTTATGAAAATAAATTATCGGATCATCGATTCGATTTTGGTGTCTTAATAATGGATTATTTGGTAAACCGATAACTCATTAAGACTATAGTAATTTACTATTTCACTCCTACATAAATATTGTAAATATTAATATCAATACCTTACCAATTACTTCAGTTGCCTTTTAGCCTTCAATTACATCACAGTGACTTTGAGTTCATAAGAAACAAACTTTTTATTTATTTATTGCACTTGTATAGTTCTTTTCATGCAAGTTACTATTGTTTCTATTATATGAACATTATGTAAAGTTACATTATTGTCCTATCATACTAAATTGTTGGAGAAGTTATATATTTGTTTTATGAACATTTTTTTATTGGTTAAATCAAAAACCAAAAATCGATAAGAATATCTTATTGATTTAATTATTGATTTAGCGTATTTAAAATAGAAAAATGATAAAATCGAACTGATAATATATAAATCGAATCAATACGACCGATGCACTAGCAAATCTTATTTTATTTTAACACTATTTTTATCATACAAATAACTAAATATATAAATAATTAAATAAAGTAACAATAGTCAAATTTAAATAAGGATTATGCATATCTCAACTTACATTTTTTAGAGTATGTAGTAAACAACAATTAATTAATACACGACCTAATCTTATTTTTTGACTTAATTATAATAAAATAGTCTAAAAATTAGTTGTGGACACATTTTTACCGTCATTAAATAGTAGTATGTTTCACATTGACGGAAGGACTCATATATATGTTTGACCAACTTAAACAATTTGAGTTAATTTATGAGATTAAAGTAGATTTATTTTTTCTTTTATGATCGGGTGTATGGATCAGTTTTTACATACCTCGATTAATTTTACATGATACATGTCACCTCCCGTCAGCGACATGTACTAGGTAACTCTGTCCACCAAGACTAAGACAGATGAAAATTGAAAACAATCACCCAGTATTTTATTTTTTTTGTCTCCGTTAAGTTTTGATTTATTGTTCATTTCCTTTGTTACCCTTTTGACTTGGAAGATGTGTTCATTGATTGTGACATCCCAAGGGTTTGATTAATTATTTTTTAATTAAAAAAATGACTTTATGTTCCATAATCTCACATTAATCATGTGCTAACCATACGAAATTTCTTGGATGGTGTTTTGTGTGAAACAATAAAATGTTCAAAACCCTTCACCAATTGTCCTTATCTTTTGCAAGATTCAAGAATTAAATTGTTTTTTGGAGTATACAATTAGAGGATATTAAAATGAATACGTTAAAGATGGGGTCAATAAAACAAGGATTATCTTGTTAATCTATCCTTTCAATTTGCTCGTATTGTAACAATGATCAAGAATGTTTTCATTTCCTTTTTATTCTGTAATAAAGTTAGTTGATCCTTTAATTTTGACAAATATTTTTAGCTAAATTTTATGAGAATTGTGTAAAAAAAAGAAATTATAAAAATGTTAGGAAAGTCCCATCAAATCTTAGAAATTGCAATACAAAAACTATACTAAACACGAAATGCTAGGTCAAAAATTAGAAATTGCACCGAAAAATTTATATCAAACTCCGGAAAAAAAATCAAATATTAAAAATGAACCTTCAAATGTGAGTTTCAGCTAAGTCCTTTTTCATTTCAGTTTTTCACCATTCTCGTCAAATCTTTTAAATAAAATTCATTATATATTTGATGCAGATCAAAAGTATTAACTTTTGACAAACTTAAAGGATCAAAAACTGTCCAACACTTACTTTAGGGGCTATCCTGAACCTACCTCCAAACACAAGGGACGTTTTTTTTTTTTTTTTCTCTAGATAAATGATCCCTCTAATCTCTTTTTATTTATTAAGTATACTAAAAAAGTATTTGAATATGAAAACAAATTTGAAATTTGTGAGCGAAAAATCGAAAAACACATAGAAACCATTTTTTTTAAATTTCAACTTCTATTTTTCAAATTCAAGGCCGATCGAAAGAATAAGCTAATTTGTTAAACAAACAATTATTTTGAAATACTCTCCAAATATTATTTTGAATCAGAACCAAAATCTATTGGTGAAGGGTCGACAAAGGACAAATTTGTACTAAAAATATATCCTGCAGTTAGGTATAAATATGAGATTAAGATGACCTCTAATTAGACTATAGAACCTCTAATTTGTTTTAAAAGACAAGATAATCATCATTACTTAAAATTACATGTAAAACATGTGGGTCGACAAAGGACAAATTTTGAAAAATGATATTGGGGGTGACAAAAACATTTGCTAGGGGCCAATAATGTACTGGATTGCCCCTTTGAACACTTTGAATTAAAATTATTATTATTATGAACATTAAAGAGAAAGCACCTCAAGAGTAATTTTTGTACCAAACTTCAGTAGCATAGAATCTTTAATTCATTACTACACTTGCCCCCACCTAGCAAAAAACAATTTTTACACAAACATTATGAATTATTGCACAAACTGACAAAGAAGGAAAAAAATAAAAGGAGGATGAAAAGAGATGTGAAAATGTATACTACTATTTTCTATAACTTATACATCAACTTTTGGGTGAAAAGAAGAAGAAGCAATATGTACATTCAACTATTTTATGTTGTTGAACATTCAATGAATCTTATACGTCTCAATTCTTTATATCTAACTAGACTATTTTACTAAGGAGATTTGTAAAAAGTGAGAATCTTAATGATGTAGTTATATCGTTAATGTCATTTATGTTAGATAACGTCAATATCCTACCTATGGTGAAGATCAAATAGATCGAATCGGAGTCACGATCGAATGTTTCACTTGCTTGATGAGTTTAGTTAACAAATGAAGTTGCACTCTTACTATTAGTTAGATTATGATATGAGAGTGATCATTTGATTCTTACAAGAAACCAAAATCACAAATTCAATAATATATTGTGTGACAAAGTTTGGGAGGGGTGATTGTTGGTAACACCAACACCCTACCTATAACAAGTTCCAGGTAACGAGCCGATGATGGCTTGTGTTAGAGTTATGATTGAATATGATGCTTGATCGATCCTACTAATAGTCTCTCTAGTAAGCAAGAGCCAATGTCTACACAAGATTTCTTTTCTTCTTTTTCCTCTTCCCTCAAAAGACCCTCATAATAATTTAAGAGCAAGCTCTTACATATGAAAGAATTACTTTTTAAGTCATAAAAGCAAGAAAAAGGCACAAGAGTACAACTTGTGTAAAGAATGAATTTGAAAGGGAGTTATCCTTGTACTCTGGGGTTGGAGGGTGAGAGGTATATGATATTTACTCATCATTAATGTTGATAACTGATCACACCTAAATAAACATAACAAAATTTTTGACAGTGGACAACACAACAAGTGTTGTCTACTTGTACCTCCATTAATAGCATGGTGGGTGCACTGCAAATGTGAGGTGGACTTTCTTGAAAAAGTGAGTGGAGGATAAATCAGAAATTTGAACCAACACTTGTACTTTTCTGAGTCTAAGCATTATCAATACATACAATATTTGTTTAGTGTTAATTGTCTTAAAATATTAGAGAGTAAAGTGGAGAGTGTGTAGCAAAGAACATGACTAATGTGTCATGTAGCAAATTACTTTAGACATTCAAACCCTACAAAGGAAAGCAATTTGAATACTACATGAGAGAAAGCTTTGATGCTTCATTGATAACAACTTCAATCAATTGCATATTTCCTCCCTTAAGAAAACACCATTATTGAGTATATATATATAAGGCTGCATGCTTAAAGCATACTCTGGGAAAAGTAGAGGCATGCATCAATAAATTCAAGACTTAAATGCAAAGTCATCTTAAGGAAGAACAAAACAACCAAGAGATACTCAAAAAGCCTGGTTGATTGGCTACCTGAACTTACATCTTGTTGGTGAGGTTCGAGTTCCCACCTTGTAATCCCCTTCACCATTTCCCCCTTTCCATTCCCCCCCAAAAGAAGAAGCTGTGAATAGTTGATAAGTAAAATCCAGCATGCATCCTTATTTAGTTCATTTTTTACTTTGAAAGTTGTTACATAAGGGGCACATGACACTGTTAACCAAATTTTCCTGCGGATTAAAGGACCATTTGAAATAAAATAACTGAGGACAAACATAGAGATGATGATAAACAATTTACTGAAAAGGTTTATATCTTTTTCTGTCCGGCTTCCCCAAGGGGATGAAGACCGTTGACAGTCATTTTCTTCATATCTTTGCAAGGGAAAAAACCATAGCATCTTACCAACTACCCAAAAGTCTGGCTGAAGCTTTGAGGGAGACATTCTTCTTACAGAAAACGAAGATTCACGATGCCCACCTCTATCTTTGAATGTTGCAACAAAATTGGATACTCAAGGGCAAAGATGAGTATGACCAAGCATCTTAACTGTAGAATTTCACGAGTGTTTCCCTTCCAATCATTTTATGTTATTGAGAACAGGAAAAAACCATCCAAAGTACTACCACTAGTTCTTCTGCATTCATAGTGTTAATATAGTACAACAACAGTTTCAAGCTTCATGAACTACCGTTAGTGCATATGTAAAGACCCTAAAGAACATATAGTACATATACCAAAGTACTTGATGTAAAAGAGAATCATCAGATTTTCATAATGCTACTGTCTTGTACTAGGATTTGCTAAAACAGACTTATCTGGAACCCGACCTAGAAGTTTTACATTCTTCACAAGCTACTACTAAGCACAACTGCTAGAAATGAAAGACTTGTGAAGCATAAGAAGGTGGAATAGAGATTTTATCTTACACCTCAAAGTTCACCAAAACGTACCAATAACGTTAACTAAGCTGCCATCCATCTACTCTTCACTATATCACCGAGGTTATTGTCTATCAAGAAGCCAAAATTGTCGGCCTGCAGCACAAATCAAATAGGAATGAATGCTTTCTTCCCCATTGACAAGTCCATTAAAATATTTTTTAGAAAAACACAGTTATGTTAAAAGTACCTTGAAAGCAAGAGAATTGGTGTCCTGACATTTTTCCCAATGATGGCGTTCATGCTATAGCGTGTGCACACCTCAACTATTCCACGGACACCTGCTATCCCACCATCAATGGTGTCCTGACATATTTGTCACCCTCATAACTGACATTGTCACATCCTGTGGTCTTTCGAGCAACTTGTCAACTCTTCACAATCCAACTTGCCTGGTATTATGACATACTTCTTGCTGTTGTTTGCTGCGGTTAACTTTTCATTGAATACAAGATATCCATCCATGTTAGCTTGTGCGCACCCAAAGGGTGGCAGTTGCGGGTTTCCTTTGTTATCAAAAAAAAGTATCCATCCATGTTATTGCTATAGCTGTTGTTGTTTTGTCGTTTACTCTTTCACCATGTACAAGATATCCAATGTTATTGCTATAGCTGTAGTTGCTTTTGTCGTTTACTCTTTCACCATGTATAAGATATCCAATGTTATTGCTATAGCTGTTGTGGGTTTCGTGTGAACTCTTCACATTTCTTTAAGTGGTTCAACTCCAACCCATATAACAAGACATCCACCCAATTGTATAAGTGTAATCCGAACTTCACTCACCCGATCTTTTACCTTGAGCTGATTTTGAGCAATCATGAAACTGTATGAAGTGACCTCATAGCTTGATAACTGCTAGGATATCCATCCAGGACTTGCCCAGTCTAATTCTCTTGAGCTGAATTTCAGCAATCATGACACTGTATTAAGTGATTCAACTCTCACCCATATACAGTATATCCATCCATGTCATTGTATAACTGTAAACTATGGACCTTACTAACCTGATCTATTATCCAGAGCTGACTTTGAGCAAGCATGACACGGTAAAAAATGACCTCATAATTTGGTTACTGTTGAGATATCAATCCATAACCATATAATGCTAGCCATTGCTCAGTGCTCACCCAGTTTAGTTCTCTTGGCTGATTTTTAGGATCATGACACTGTATAAAGTGGCTTAACTCTTTAAGCCACTATACAAGTTATCCATCCAGGTAAATGTTAACAGTAAAATATGTTCACGTTACTCACTCCATCTATTATCGTGAGCTGATCTTCAACAATCATGAAACTGTATAAAGTGACCTCGAAATTTGGTAACTGTTAAGACAACCATCCAGGCAAAGCTATAATGCAAGGCATTATTCACAGAGTCTAATACTATTGAGCTGATATCCATCAATCATGACAGTGTATTAGGTGACTTAACTCTTCGCTCATATACAGCAAATTGTATGACTGTAAAATGTGAGCCTCATTGCTCACCCCATCAACTCTCTTGAGATGATTTTCAGATATCATGACATTGTATACAACTATACAATGACCTTATAATTTGATAACTGTCAAGATATTCATCCAGACAACAGCATAATCTAAGCAATTAGTCACCTGATCTAATTCTCTTAAGCTGATTTTCAACAATGATTGCCGATGTAGGATTTGATCTCACAATTTGATAACTTCACTCTTTTTATGATGTCTTTAAGACGTAACTTTCTAATGTTCTGAAAAGTGACATGAATACTATTTTTGTCGCCTTCACTGATATAATCCGGCGTGAACTTCATGCTACTAATTTCCAAACATAACTTGCTTGGGATTGTTATTGATTATTACTTGCTTGAGATTCTTGTTGATTATTACTTGCTTGAGATTCTTGTTGATTGTACTTGCTTGTGATTCTTATCGATGGTACTTGCTTGAGATTGTTACGGATGGTACTTGCTTGGGATTGCTGTTGGACTTTTGGGATTGTTGTTGTTTCCTTTAGTTAATGCCCGGAAGCGGGCATAGAAGGTCATCCAACTCAATAAAATCTCCTTCTAAAATGGCAATCAGTTCCTGAGCAGAAAAATCATTGAGAACTGGAGATCCGTCGCTCTCAAGACAAATCTGTTGCATGAACCAATAACTCATATTAATGATGCCCATTTATATCAACACAAAAAAGGAAACATCACGACTACTCTAACAAACTAACATAATTAAGTTTGAAGGATAAATGAGAAGTGTTTCAATTAGCTAATAAACCAGGCACACATAAGGTATACTTCTTAGTTCTGAAGCCTAAATTACTAAATGCACAATAGAAACAGTAACTCAGATTCCACTTGTAGAGCAACAACAGATATGGAAAGCAGAAAAAATTACCTTCATTGATTTCACTCCATCCCCAACTTCTCTAAGAGGTTTCTCATATTGAGATGTCAAGAAAACGAGTAGGTAAATTCTAAAGATAAATGCATATCTTGTGCATGTCAAACATTTGATGAGCTTATAAAAATAAGTCAATGAAGATGCAAAACAGGAAACAACAAACAATTGAAGCAATTCAACATGAAAGCTTGGGATTATGAATGAAGAAAAAGTTAACTAAGCACCTTTAAAGAGTAATAACATAAAGTTTTCTTTGCGATATACCTGCTTAGCAACATTTTCTGCAACAACTTGACCATTTAAGTCGGTAACTAATCCACTAGGTAACTTTGAGACATCATTCTCCTGGTCAATAGTGTTTTCATCATGCATTTTAGAGCCAGTAACCGATGCAGCTGATCCATCAAATTGAATACCTATATGGCGTACTGTCGCATCAATTTCTTCACCATTGGAACTAAATATATGACCTGACAAGTTATTTCCATGATGAGATTTGATGAATACTCGGCATAGAACAAAAGATGCCTGCACACAAGCAGAAGAATGAGACATGTTACATGTAGCAAATTTATGCTATGCAACAAGACAAAGCCACCTTAAACAGAACCACATAATATTTTTTATGACTAATTTCAGAAATATTTATGTCAAACTTCTTAATATGTACATTAAGCACAACCACAGACTAAAGGCAGAGAGAGATAGGAGGTCTACCAACATAAAAAGCAGAATTATGGTCACACTCAGATTGTGTTGCTTTGATAATCTTAATTACCATCAAGACTTCAGAACAATAACACAAACCCAAAAGATAAAGCTAACTAACTGTTGACACGCAGTGATCTGTTTCAGCAATCACATCAAAATCAAATCAAACAAAAGCATAGGCCCTAAATCCAACTCTGTTTTCTATTGAAATGCAGGGCAAATTGGGATACCTTACAAAGTTTCTCTTTACCATAACTAATAATGGGCAACAATATACCTAAAGAGTACAAACACATCCTCAATACAAAACTAATTCTATAATCTACATTGTATAATCAGAGTGGTACTTAGATTTCATCAAAACATATTAGCATATCAATGAAAGTACGAACATGCACAGCACTCCAAGAAGGGAAACAACCAACCACTTCCCGATGTCAGTTTGAACAAAAATTACACCAGAAAAAGGCAAGCCTTTGATAGTGTATTCAAGTAAAAGACTAATAACATTGCAAATTAAGAAAAACTCAATATATTCATTGATGTACGCAAGAAAGATTGTATAGCAGAATGTACCAAAGGATGACCAGTTAAGGCGTACTCATGCATCAACCAATCAGTCTTAGTACAATCCTCCAAATAAAAATCAAAACTTTTACGCGTACCCACCACAACTTTCCCTGCACCCGCATCCACCACATCCCTAACTTTACCCCTCTTCTTCCAATAACCACCACCAGCTCTCCTCCTCCCTCCCTTCAAAACCCTAGCCACAAAACAAAACCAGTGCCTTTTCCGTTCACCACGACCGTACCGGAAACAGGCGGAATCCGGCAAGTTAAATGGATCAAAATTGTAGAGATCAATTTCTCGAATTAGGTCAAATCCAGCGCCATTCCGGTGATCGGCGCCGTTCTTTGAAGATAAATAGTAGCTAATTAGTTGTTGATCGGAAGGGTAAAATCGGGTACCGGGAGGAAGCGAAAACGGCGTCGTATCTCCCATAATGGGAGAGAGTGAAGCTATAACTGAGAGTGTTTTGAAGTAGCAGGGGACAAAGAGCTCCGATATAAAAGGGATTTTATATGGACCCAACAAATAAAGAAGCGTGACCATGAAGTTTCTTCATAATGTCAGCTTATTAATCTCACGTGCTTTCCTCGGAGAATCTCTGTTCCAATTTATATGACATAATTTAAATTTTGATTTTATAACAATAACAAAACACCTTGTGAAATTACACAATTGGAGGTGAATATGGAGGGTTAAATAGCCAAATTTTGATCACGATTTATATATATGCCTTTAAAATAATTTAAATTATTGATTTTGTGACTTATAATTTTCTTATGTAGTTTCTAAATATGTAAATAATTTTTCAAAAACTTTTAAGACTGCATGTCTGAATTCACAATTAAAATAAAGATATTTGATTTTTGAAATCCAAACTATGTCATATAAATTGAGATGTATAGAGTTTTTCTCCGTCTAGACTCAAACTCAAATTAGTTATAAACCGACAATGGATTGTGGTAGATGGTTGAAATCTCACCACCCTTAATCATAAAGGCCTTGAGTTCGATTCCCTAGCCCAAAAAGGGACCCGGCTATACAGATTCTTTTATAGACAAGCTTTGTGGTAGTAAATACTCGTTTATTTTAATTAAAAATCTTGAATTCGAGATTAATTATTTGTCATTTTCTTAGCTAGATTTATAACAACATACCCAATGAAATTTCACTAAATGAAATCTGAGATGGATAGAGTATACGCATACCATATCACCATCTCATGGAGGATGAAGAAGTTGTTTCCAAATGATGCTCGACTCAATTGTATCAAAATCAAATAGAAGAAAAAGAAAGCTTAGTCATTATTTTCTCAGCTAGATTTTGTGTACGCAAACACGGATACATGATACCGGATGAGAAATAAGAAAGAAGAATCAAATTTCTTTTTATTTCATATCTTGAACAAATCAAACACTTGTCAAACTTACCAACATTAACAATACATCAATTATGAAATAACACATGTTCTCCAAATACAACACCACCTAAATTAACTTGACAAACTATCCATAAACTCCTTATCAGTTTCAAGAGAAGCCATGAAGTCAGGTAAAAGACACACTTCCAAATCCATACTACCATCACCTTCAATCCCTTCATACAAACTCACTTTCCCATCAAACTTGTGTGCATATCCACTTCTAAGTGCCACTCCTTTTCCCAATCCAAATTCATTCCCATACATATCAAATCTTGGAGAACTTCCCATCATAACGCTACTAGGATCGAAAAATCCCAACTGATAAATCATACCACTTTCCAATTTTTCAACCCATTCGCGAATATCTTTGTTCTTATGATTCACCACAGCTTCATGCATTTCCCAAGCTGCCCAACCAAGGCTGTTTTCAAGAAGTTTTCCCGCTGAGGCAATTCCTCAGGTAAAAGGCACACTTCCAAATCCATGCTACCATCACCTTCAATTCCTTCATATAAACTCACTTTCCCATCAAACTTATGTGCATATCCACTTCTAAGTGCCACTCCTTTTCCAAATCCAAATTCATTCCCATACATATCAAATCGTGGTGAACTCCCAATCACGATACTACAAGGATCACAGAAGCTCCCCAACTGATAAACCACACCACATTCCAATTTTTCAACCCATTCACGAATTTCTTTATTCTTATGATTCACCACAGCTTGATGCAATTCCCAAGCTGCCCAACCAAGGTTATTTTCAAGAAGTTTTCCCACTGAGGCATTCCTTCGAACAGTTTGTATGCAATTCCCAAAATAGTTTTCTGGCAATGGAGGTTCCAATCTTGCTCTGTTATTAATCGCCATTCTGCAACTTGTTACATGATCAGCTGGGAATTTTCGAACCCTTGTTATGCATCTCCACATATGAGCTGACAAAGCTTGTAAAGACGAAATCTTGGAGGTATGACATTCTTGATTTGCTTTAGCTTTGAGTTTCTTTAAAGACTCTGCTGAGAAATGGAAGAATCTTTCTCTTAGATTTGGGGATTCGTGTCTACTAATGAATTGATCATGGTGAGTATAAGGAAGATTAATAATTGGACCATGTCCTTCTGGGAACCAATGGTTAAAATTCGGCGATTTCGAAATGGGAATGCTCTGTTTTTGTCCATTATTGGCTTTGAAAACTTCTGAGAAAGAGTTAAAGAAATGCCAAAAAGAAGAACCATCAGCTAAGACATGGTTAATTGATAAACCAATGAAAACCCCATCAATTAATTCTGTTAATTGAACAGTTAACAAAGATAAATCATGCCCATCATGGTTAATAGCTCTATCATGATCGAAAAACGATTGGACAACTAAAGGCACATCTTTTGGTGAAAGTATATCAGAAACAGTTAAATCAAGATTAGCATGGATAAATCTTGCACCAGGGCTATTAACACAATCGATAAAGACAGTGTAAAGAGGAGGATTTTCTTGTTTAAGTGTTTTAAAACGACCAGCTAATGGGTAAAAATGGACAAGGGTGATTGAGAGTGAATCTTTAAGCTTTTGCAATAGAGGATCAAGTTGAAATGATGATGGTTTAGTGAAAAGTAAACCTTTTTGGATATATTGAACAGAAAGCATGGCTAAATCCCATGATGATAGATAAACAGGTTTTTTAGCTTCTTCTGAATTGTAAAGTGGCTTGATGAAACAATCTGATATGTGTTGAACAGTTGGTGAAGAAGACATTTTTTTTGTTTTTGGTTTGTTATTTTTCTTCTTGTTATTGTATAGTTTGAAGATTGGGTTTTTATATTGAGCATTTATGATTAGTCCAACTTCTACCTACACCCTCACCAAACCTGTCCAAGTGGGGCTTAGGTAGAGGTTTTTGTGGGGAATTATAAAATGGTTTAAGATAAAATATTAGGATGAAAAAAAAACAAAAATGGTATCTTATACTCCTTCCGTTCCTTTTTATATGTCATACTTACTATAAATAGTTGATCCATAATACTTGTCATTTCATAAAATCAATGTATAAATTACAATATTCTTTCTATTATAACATTGATAGTTAATTAGTCTTGAAAATAAATATTTGACCAACCTAGGAAAACTAATAAGTAATTAATGTTTATTGTAATTACTTCATACATTGATGAATTACTTTCACCATTGCATTACTCTATAAAATCTAATTTTAAAAAAGAAATTCCAACAAACAAATTAAAAATAAAAGATGGATTTATTAATCATTTATTGAAAAGTTGACTTCAAAAAAACATGAATTAAGGTTAGAATTGTAAACTTACTTAGTTTTTTAATGCAAGTGAAATTTAAAAAGGTGACATATAAAAAAAATGGAGGGTGTACTTGAATAGGTTTATAATGTTTCCTTAAATATTACATGGACAATGAAAAAAATTAGACTTGACATCAACTTATATTTGTTAATTTTTTATCTATTTTTGGAGACTTTGTATAATTTTTTGAGGTGCAAGTTCTTCTATATTTGATAGTTTTTGAAATTTGATCGGACTTTCTTGGTGTATTCGAAATCGATTTTTCTAATATTTTTGGGTGAAAAAAATTTCACATTTCTTATAAAATATCATATTAACTAATTTTTATTATTCTCTATAAAATATTAATCCTACTATAATTAATTAAGTAGATAGAGGTTGGTGGAATTCAACATTTATGTGGATTATATCTTCAATAAGAAAAGATACTTTGAGTGTGAAAACAACTTCCAATCACAGACTAATTTTATTTTAGCAAAAATAAGTAAATAAATGAACCAATGGGTTTGAATACTTTCGTTTTTTCTCTAGTCACTATATTTGACTAATTACTTTCAAACAACAGAAAATTCAAAGGTCGCACTTCCTCAGAAGTTGCTGTGTATGTTATACTACCATACTTTTACTCCCGGCGAATTCACGATTTAAATTTTATAGATTTAATTTTTAAAACTCTTAATATCAAATTAGTTGTATATTTTAAATTATGAGTTCATATATACTATTCATAACAATCTCAATAAATCTTTGCAAATTGCACATATATATATATATTATGCTTTGCCTCGAAAGTTATGAATTCAATTGAACTAATTACACGGACTTATAGCGGTACATCCGCCCATGCTTTTCAACCTCTCTGGCGTCTTTGTTTGAGTAATAGATAATTGGAGGTAGTTGACTCCACACAAAATCATACTAATAAAAGTACTTGCGGAACAAGTGTAAGATTTCACCAACTTCTTAATAATCTAAAAATTAAGACAAATAATCTTTCATAGCAGATTGAATGGCGTCATAAATGTAATAAAATAATTTTTTAGATAAGTTAATTTAACAATAATTTTGAAGAAGTTATAACATTGAACAGTTGCATATTGGTTAATCTTTTACTATAGTTAGATGTTATCTGTCCATTGTTATCGGGGGTGGAGCCAGTGTAGAGTTAGGGGGATCGATAAGTGTAATTCAAATCTTTCATTTGTCTTAAGAAATTCATTATGTTCGTATAAATTATTCAGTCTATAACTCAACAAGTTACCCAAATTAAAATTTCGAACCCATAAAATTTAATTATGACTTCTCTGTCTGTCATGATTCCCCATTAACCTTACATTAAAAAAGAGAGAATCTGGATTATGTTGCCCCACTAAACTTAGATGTTATATATATTATAACCTGTCATCTATGACCATGTTTTGTTAATTTTTATTTTTTTTGTTTCCATTTGTGGAGACAAAATTGAGAACCTTAATTTTAAGGGAAAATCACATATAAGGCAAACAAAATTTATGAAATAGCACTATATGGGTATAGTTTACATAATTACATTCTATGGGTATAGTTTAGTTTGTTATGTAGCTTTTAATTTGTATAAAGTGTTTTTTTTCTGTTTTTAGTTTATACAATATTTTACTTTTTCATTGAATGGTAACAGTAGCGCTAAGTATGGTAACAAACATTTACATAATCTCATGATTTAAGTTAAACGTTCAAAATCAAATATTTTCCCAAAAGAGAATTCTGTAGCGACAGAAAGACCATACTAACTTGTTTTCGG